GAGGAAATAGGAGAATAATTCTCAATTCAGGAACTTTTACATACGGCACAAGATGTTGCAACCATTCAACAAGCGTACCTCCAGCAACCGGAGCCTTAGCTACATTATCTCATTATGAGGTATGAACAGATGGTACATTTCTATCAGTCACTACTGATAACAATACACAAAAAAGCAGTCACGGTTCTGCACAGACGAGATGAACAAAACAAAGCAGTTGTGATTTGTGAGTTGACAAGTCGACTGTTACTGTCTCAGAGCAGAAAACTTCCTCGACTTAGAATAACTGAAAGAATAGACTTGTTGATCCATCAGTAAAAGACTTGAGGTCAGCAGGTCTCACCAAAGCCCGACATAAAGGGCATGTCCGTTCTCTCTCAAACCTGAAAACAAAAACCAAAAAAAAAAGTAGCCAACAAATTCAACCGAGTAAATTCTAAGTAGAACAGGTAGGGCCTACTCAACACCAAATACAGGATGTTTTTTTAACCTTTTTTACGTGCTGCAATTATATTATACAATTAAAGTTAGAAATGATGAAAATGCCAGCTCCACGCAAGGCATGTGATTCCAAGGCAAATATTTACCTATAGTGCTCCTAAGCTTTTAAATATAATGCTTCACTGTTCTCTTAGTTATTGCTTTCAAGAGGCAATACCAGCTGAAAGTCAATGAATCTAGACAAAGAAAATTAATCGTAGGACTAGAATGAATGAGAAAATGACATCAAAAGGCATGGTGGCAGGACTTGATAACATATTAATTTTAAGTATGGGACACTAGGAATATTGAAAATTCCTGTATCATGTTTTTTCTATAAATGCTATGTTTGGTAGACAAATAAGCTAGCTTATAGCTTATTTGGTTAGCTTATAAGCTTCTTGTATTTAAATAAGCTTCGAGCTTTTTCAAAAAGCTCGAGCTTGTCTCATAAGCTTGTTTATTTAGGTAGCTTTTCAAATAAGCTCGTTGAAATTTTAATTTCAGCTAGGTTATCAGCTAATTTTACCAAACACTTTTATCATATAAGCTAGTTTTTCAACTATAAGTCATAAGTTTCATGGAATTACTGATAAGCTATAAGCTACTTTTTCAGCTATAAGCTAAAAAATTACTGATAAGCTATTATCTAGTTTTCCAAACATAGCCAACATCTAATCACTACCCACCTTAATTTAAAATATTTTCAGAATGGGATGAATATTTTACTAGTTTCTTGGAATATCAGCAAAAACGCAGGAAAGAAAACTACATTCATCTATTTTAACATGAGTTGTTAAAAGCGGTAGTTTCAAAACAAGTAACAGGACAAAACCAACCATTCAGACACACAGTCCTCACAAAATATGTGCTTGCAGCGTAGAAGAACTGGAGCATGCATTTTTTCCTGGCAAATGGCACACAAATCTCCTGCCGCAGTCACCTGCAATGAAAATTAACTCTTCTGAACAAAATTTTCTGAAGTTTTTTCCGTTCTTCTTCATTATATTTTTTTCTTTTGGACTTCTTATTTAGCCAATGGGTGAACTTAAAAATCAAATTTAATTTTGAATTATAAGAATTTCAAAGCTGCTGAACAACAAAGTTGGATTTTGGAAAACCAGGATATATAAGAAACATATTGAATCGATTCTTTTTAATGAATAGATCCGATTGCAACTTCGAATATGGAATTCAATCAAATAGGAAAGGATACTCTGAATCATAGAACTATAACGAAATATGCGATCAATAGGTAAACAAATGCAGAGGAATAATATATATGGTAAAAGAAACAAAGAAATACGATTTTTTTTTTTTTTCACGGAAAGAACATTTGGGGTTGGGTATGGTTTTTGTCATTCAATCGACAATCAGAGTTTATAGTTGACAACTTCTTTTCAGTGTACATTCTTGTCTCCAAGCACACAATCATCATGTTACGCGTGACAACCGAAATGGAGAATAGGTATTATTGTATTACTGTAAAATAGGCAACCATAATGATCTCAAACACACCTACATCGGTATTTTCAGCATGTTCACCACATGAAATGTAGGCAGCAGTAGCTCAAAAAAATTTAGCACAATTCAACATCAAGGAGAAGACCCATAAAAAAAATTGGAACAGAAAAAAAAGACGGATACCTGTTCAGTTGTTGCATAGGTTCCATAATGGATGTCTTTCCTTGAAAGTGCTTTCAAAGCAGTGATAAACGATTGGACCTTTAAAAGCCAACCATATTAGAAATTAAAAGTATCTTTCAAATTATTTTATTAAATAAAATAAAACACTGAAACACTTCACTGAAAAATTAGACTGCGAAACCATCAAGAGAACATAATTTAGTAGGAAACATAAGGGCTACCTTCTCAACAACAGATGTAAGTTTGAAAGTCAGGTAAAGTCCAGTCATTAGTGACGAGAAAAGGCTCCCATATTCTTTGTTCAAAAAGAAACGATACCAAACTGGAGCAGGTAGCAGTGCACGGTAAAGCAAAAATAGGTACTCGACTAATGTGAGCATTTGACCTTGCCTGCGATAGTTTCTCCCTCTGCTGTTTCGGTAATATATCAATAGGACACACTTGAAGACCATTGCTGCCTGACGGGCCAGTGTATCTGACAAAAGAAAATTATATTAATACACTGCTAAATAATATATTTCAAAAAATTATATTAATACACTGCTAAATAACTATGCCAGGAATTCAATAATTGAAGTAATATCACTCACCATTGACCACGATGATGAATATTGCATTCCAGAAAAGCGGTATGGTTCTCGGTGGCAGCATCAACAAAGGGTATAGCACATCATTATTCCAATACCACCAGTAAATCCCAACAATATGAAGGGCGGAAACAACAACCACACCTATGAGAACGAATACTCTCCTCTCACCCTAAAAAGAAAGAAAAATCAGCTCCATGCCAACCATAACTTTATCTTTATTCAAAATATCTCAATCAACGAAAAAGGGATATAAAGTACTTTGAGTGCCGTCTGCTTCCGTACAATATCATTTGACTTAAACATAAAGGCAGCAATCCAAATGGTAACGATGAATCCTGCAAATCTAGCAGCAGTCAGCAAACTTTTTTCTAATAAACTAGTATGAATCCCGTGCGATGCACGGGTAAGAGATATTCATTAAAATTATAAATTAAAATTTTTCATTAAATAATATTTATACATTAAAAATATAGAATCAATATGTAATACAATTTACCTATATTAATTTATTGAAAATATTATATAAAATTTAAATTGTTTAAATTACATAAAACATGTCTATTTAAAATTAGTACACAACACGTACAAGTAACTGATAATAAATTACATTATATTCATTACAAAACAAGTGTCACTTTAAAAATTTTATTTTGAAATTCGATTTGACTACAATGTGGTTCCATAAAATAAAAATTTTGGTAAAATTTTGTAATATAGTTAAAAATATATGTGAATAATAAGTATAATTATAAAACTTATATTGTTTCATTATAAAATGAATTTATTTTTGTATAAACTATTCAGATCAAAAAATTTAAGTAGTTGAGTAATTTATTAATTTATAAATAATCGACTATTCCACTTGTGTCCAAGTAATATAGACCCTTGAGTTATGAATATTTACTTATTTGACATTTAAATTTGGTATCCAAATTTAAACTACACAATAAATTCCCTTATATATATATATATATATGTATATATATCGCAATTTTCTAGATTTCGCAATTTTCTAGATTTGTTGTTACCTTATTGTTCAAATGTATCAACTAATTCTCTAGAATTAAATTACAAATTTTGAATTTTATTAAGCAATATTTGTTCATAGGTTTTTCTGATTATCAAGTGGAATACATACCAATTTGTCGAATTATCATTAATAGCTTATGGCAAGTTATTACGAGAATGTGTTAAAATTTGAGAATAATATCATTTTGAATTCATAACAAATCAACCTAAAATTTGAATTCCATACTTATGCCAAATAAATTAACTACTTATTTTGTTTTCAAAATCACAATATAAACTTCTGTCCATACTAAATAAAACTCATAACGTTTAATTTTGAAACCAAAATAAAATTGTTCACTTTATTCCATAAAATCGCACATTTATTAATAACAACACATTTCCTAAAAAAATGACCATCGGATACATAAAATAAAATCGCCCACTTTATATCAAAACCGGATTAATCAATTTTGTCAACTTTATAGCATAAATTGATTAATTAATTTCAAGAGACAAAATTTAAAAAAAAAAATTCAAAAAAAAATATCAAGTTTAGTAAATTTAAAATTTTTAGGCGGGATTTTAGTTGCTATTGCAGCTTTATATATATATATAAGTGAACGCTACTTAGGTTAAGAACCTATTTAATTTACGGATACTGATAGAAAGAGTAAAAACAAAACAAAAGAAACAAAAAATGAGAACATAAAAAAGAAAAGAAAAAAACATAAACAAGAATCGTGTAAATCTAGGGGTAAAAATTATATATGGATATGATAAAATCCTCTTCCATTACGAAGTAAATACAAAGATAAGAAAAGCTTTTCCTATGGATTCATAACAAACAAACTTAAAAAAAAAAAAAAAAAAGAAATGTTCTCCAAGAACTACTTTTTCTTATGAATACACCTGTAAAAACTAAAAAATTAAAATTCTGGCCGAACACTTGATGAAAGTGACAAATTGCGGTAAAGAATTAATGATGCCTTGATAATCTTTGCGTTGGATGATACAAGACAAAATCAAAGTATCTACAGCATGATGGTAGTTAATATCATACACAATATGAGGTAAAAAGAGAAAATAACATCTTAATATATCAACAAAACAGACATGTATTCTGTGAAACAACTGAAAGTAAGAAGCATCAAGGAAAATTACCTTCCACGTGCTGACGTATGAACACAATCAACAGAAGCAATATGAAAGGAAGGACCTGCTCGATCCACCTAGCAGCCTGCTGAATATCATATCTCTGGTATGAAGACTGTGCATCCCTGTTATTGCCAGCTCCCTCAGAACCATCAGCAGTCGCCACCCGCGTAACTCCATCTCCTGCCTCTCTATCACTTCTCGAATCAACTTGGCTTTCCAATGAGGACAACTCTGAAACCCCAGACCCCGACCTTGAAATTGGCCTTGAAAAGGACTCCGTCTGTATACCAAGCTGCCCAACAGTAGATGCCGGGTGTACCATGGTTGCAACCCTGTCATGCTCGTGTTCGTTGGGACCAATGATTCTAATGGAAACTTCAGCTGTCTCGTCACCACGGATTGCAGTCGGAGAGGGTATAGTGTCATTTAGATGCGTCTGGAGGTGGCGATCTCCATAGCCGGTGAGGGCTCCACCATTGAGTAAACCTTCCGATTCTGAATGACCCAACCTTGTTCTGAGAATCCCAGTGTACTCCAATAAGGTGGACAAGGGTGATCGTAGAATGTTAGAAGTAGAGATATTCATCCCGTTTCTTCTAGAATGAGCGGTGACACTTGAAGAAGAAGAAGAAGAAGAAGAAGAAGAAGACGATAAAGAACTCCTGTTGGCGTCCGAATTTCCACCGGACGCTTCCATTTGTGAAGAAAACCTCAACCTAAACCTAGCCCTAATCACGAATTGAAACATACATGGTCATGAACATCGGAGTACCAAATCTGCATATCTAAGAAAAATATCAAAATAATTGCCTAAAAAAGGATGAAAATATAGTCAGGCACCTTGGAGATCGGAACTCCGTGGACGATCGTGTTCGATTCAGGCGGAGGGCGGAGAATTCGTTTTGAGAAAGAAAATCCTAAATGCGACGTATGGAAGAAAGCATATTAAGAATAGTCCAAGTAAAATCAGCGGTGGTGTTGATTGTTGTTGGCTCCGCGGCGGAGAAAAGTAAGCGGGCGACGGGGACTTGCGGGCGGAGCTAGGCGTTGAATACGCGTTTCTCCGCCTCTCTCCACGGTTTATTGTTCTCAGAGAGGACGGGAAAAGTGATATATTAGAGCTATATGGATTGCTCCCACCTAGCCTCTAAAATCCAATGTGGCTTTCAACAATTTTAAAAGTCTTTCTAGATGTAAAAAATCTTTTAGATATCTTTCATTTTATATTATATTATTTACTAGTACAACCCCGTGTATTACACGGGTGCTTGCTAATTTTTTATTAAAATCTAAAATTAATGAGAAAAAGTAGTTTGAAAATTTAAATACCTTTTATAAGAATATATATATTATTATATATTTATTATGACACTTTTTATTTGTGCAACTTATTTGTGTTATATTATACTATTTTTTTTAACTTACAATATATAACTACATTACATATAAATATCAATTGAAAAATAATTTTATTTTTCTAATGAATTTCAATAAATATTATTATTTTTATATAAAGATAAATATAATTTATTTATTTCATATATATACAATATGGGTGTCAAATCGAAGATCATCAAAATATGATTAATTTGATATATTATATATGTAAAACCGATAAGAAATACAAAAGTTATCAACTTTTAAAATACATTTATAATTCAATAGCTTATTGAAGGAAACAAATCAAAATTCAGAGATATATTAGTCACTTAGTGTCTCACTATGTAAAATTACAAATAATTAAAGGGTTATATTAGTAAAAGTAATATTAAGATACCTAAATTAGCTAAATAATATTTATGGAATACCCGAACCTAGATTATTAATTATTAATATATCAATATTATTTATCCAAATCTAATTACGAAGCATGATTCTTCGCCAAATAGGATTCCGAAGCACCAGAAGCAGCCACGTAGGCTCAGCGCATTCTGGAATTATATATAGGGAGGATATGATACTTATGTTTATACCAATCAATTATTATATTACATTTGTCAAATTATTCCACAATTGAGATCCTCCCTATATATAATTCTCGAATGCGCTGAGCCTACATAGCTGCTTCTGGTGCTTCGGAATCTTATTTGGCGAAGAATCATGCTTCGTAATTAGGTTTGGATAAATAATATTGATATATTAATAATTAAAATAATCTAGTTCGGGTATTCCATAAATATTATTCAGCTAACTTAGATATTTTAATATCACTTTTACTAATATAACCCTTTAATTCTTTGTAATTTTACATAGTGGGGCAATAAGTGACTAATATATACTTGAATTTTGATTTGTTTTCTTCAATAAGCTATTGAATTATAAATGTATTTTAAAAGTTGATAACTTTTGTATTTCTTATCGGTTTTACATATATAATATATCAAATTTAATCATCTTTTGATGATCTTCGATTTGACATCCATATTGTATATATGAAATAAATAAATTATATTTATCTTTATAATAATAATAAATAATAATATTTATTAAAATTCATTAGAAAAATAAAATTATTTCTCAATTGATATATTTATATGTAATGTAGTTATATATTGTAAGTTAGGGATGTCAATAAAACCCGTAAGGTCGGGTTACCCACGGGTTACCCGCATTTTCGGGTCGGGTAAACCTGAGACGATCGGGTTTTGGGTCGGGTTCGGGTATAGTTATTCTACCCGAACCCTGGGTCGGGTCGGGTACGGGTATAGTAGAAAAACCCGCTACCTGACCCGATTACCCTACCCGTTTACCCGCCACCATTGAATATTATATATACACATATATATGTATTCATAAATTATTATAAATATAAAAGTAGTCATGTGTTATTAGTATAAAAATTAAATTATTTATTATAAGTTTGATTAATGGTTAATTTTTTTTATGATTTTATAATCAATTTTTGTTAATTGTATGATAAAAAATTTAAATACTTAATTTTTAAATATAATATTATTAAATTGACTATACAAGATAATAATTATATCTCATTATTTATTCCAAAAACAATATAATAGTTTTTTGTAGTTTTTTATTGTCGAACTTAGTTAATAAATTGTTTGTTACATTATAATTAATTGTGAAATTATTTTATTTTATTTTTAATATGAAACGAGATGGATCTAGTAAAGCCTAAATTTAAAAACTCGGGTTACCCATTTACCCGAAGAAAACCCACTAACCCGCCGGGTAAAACCCAACCCGAACCCAAAGATCACCAACAGGGTAACGGGTCGGGTTTGGGTATGGTAAATTACATGCGGGTCGGGTTCGGGTTTGTCAAAACCCGTACCCTACCCGACCCATTTACATCCCTATTGTAAGTTAAAAAAAATTAGTATAATATAACACAAGTAAGTTGCACAAATAAAAGGTGTCATAATAAATATATAATAATATATATACTTATAAAAGGTATTTAAATTTTCAAACTACTTTTGCTCGTTAATTTTAGATTTTAAGAAAAAAAATTAGCAAACACCCGTGTAATAAACGGGTGTTGTACAAGTTAACCATTGGAGACAAAATATTTTTACTTCCTTTCTCCACACCATACATTTTAAAATACGCATTGAGCCATTAGAGATGCTTATTAGCTCTTTACGTTATGACTATTTTTATTTAGTTATTTATTTATTTTGCACATTTTATTTAGGTGGAAATAAGTCGAGTCAAATCCATCAAATAAGTCGAATCATGTCGAGCTAAGCTTGAGTTAGACTTTTTAAAGAGTCGAGCTCATCTCAGCTCTTTATTCAAGTCGAGTTTGAGCTCATTACATTTTTCATTTATCAATATTAATGAGTTGAGGTCAAATCGTAACTTAGGCTATAAGAAATTATCCATATATTTTTTTCTTTTCAAGCTTTAACAATACGAGTTTGAATCGAACTTTTTACGAGTTGAACTCAAGAGTGTCTTATTTTGTATAAGAACTTTACCAAACATACATTATTTTGAGTCAATTCCATAAATCAGAAATATAAAATAAAATATTACATATGCCTTTTCGATAATATACACAAATTCATAATATACTGTGTACAGATGCCTAATACCATGAGCTATTAATTGCCATCAAAGTTTGAACAGTTATCAAGGGACACAATTTGAATGCGGAATTCGCCTCTATTCCCACACAACGCTAACATTCGCCAGTTTTATTTTAGAACTGGTAAGCCACCGCGCAACGCGCGGCCTGATATTAAAGATAATATATGTGAGTTGTTAGTTATGTTAAATATTTTTTTGTACAATAAGTTAGGTTTAGGCGGCTAAGACCTCTATGTATCTATATATATGTGTACATGTCTTAATAATATATATCATATTTTTCTCAATTTCTCACATGGTATCAGACTAGGTTTATAGTCCAATATAGGGTTAGTATTTTTCGCTCGTCTCCGGCCGTCTTCTATTCTCACCTCCCAGACCATCCTCTCCGGCATCTTCCGGCGAGCCGTCGATCAAAATTTGGGCCCGTTCGGAGGCGCGTGGGACCCACACTCGCCGGAACATTGCGACAGTGCTAGCAGCTTCAGCCGGAGCGTGAGATTCACCCCCAGCTCCGATCGCCGTGATTTTTTAGCCGTCGATTCATCTCATCGGCGGCTACGTCCTGGTGTGGTCGGTTTTGCTTTTCGTGCCATTTTTAATTTCGGCCTTTTACCGCTATTTTATCCAGTTTGTGATCCAGTTCGTGATTTTCTTTTGTCTTCGTACTGTTGCTGGTTGCTAGTGCTTCTTTATTTTTTGGACATGGATTCTTCTATAGTGGTATGCCACATTTGCCATGTTCAGGGTCATATTGCTCCATTTTGTCCTACGGTCACATTTGCCATGTTCGGGGTCATATTGCTACATATTATCCAGCCAGATCACACCGTTCGAGAGGTTCATTCTCTCGACATTGTGGGTCTTCCTCCACCGCCGCTTCTTCTGTTACAGCGGCTGTCACTACTGAGCCTCATCATCCGTCTTACACTCTTCAAGACATAAAAGCTATTCTCAAACAAGTTATTCTATCCAATTCTTCTATGTCTGCTACCGGAGGTAAATCACATTGGTATTTTGATTCTAGCTGTTGCAATCACATGACCTCTAGCCCACAACTTTTGTCTTCTTCGTCTTCCGTAACCTCTTTACCTCCTATACATACTGCTAATGGTACTCTTATGAATGTTACTCACACTGGTTTGATTTCTTCCCCTTCCTTGCATCTTCCCGACACATACTGCATTCTTGACTTGACCTTGAATCTTATTTCTGTTGGTCAATTGGTTGACCAAGGTCTTAATGTTATATTTTCTTCTTCTGGTGTTCAGGTTCAGGATTCACAGACGGGACAACTTCTCGGCAAAGGTCGCAAGACGGGCCGGTTATTTGAGCTTGAGTCACTTCATGTCCCTCGTTCTTACTCTTTTTCTGCTTCTGCCACCGAAAGTAAGTCTAGTTTCCAGTGGCATCTTCGTCTTGGGCATGCGTCTTCAAGTAAAGTTCGTTCTTTATATAATAAGGGTCTTTTGGGTTCAAGTCATTTTGAGTCTTTTAGTTGTCTTCATTGCAAACTTGGAAAAACAACCGGCTCTTTCTTTTTCTGATAGTTTGTCAACTGTTGATAAACCTTTTGGTTTCGTACATTCTGATATTTGGGGTCCTTCTCCTGTTGCTTCTCTGAGTGGTTTTCGGTATTTTGTTATTTTTGTTGATGATTTTTCTCGTTTTACCAGGATCTATTTTCTCAAGAATCGTTCTGAGTTGTCTAGCATATATGTTCAATTTGCTAACATGATTCTTACACAATTTTCTTGTCCTATAAAGGTCTTGCGTACTGATAATGCTCTTGAGTACAAAGATTCTACTTTTTTAAAATTTCTTTCTGATCAGGGCACCTTAGTTCAGCGTTCGTGTCCATATACTTTCCAACAAAATGGACGAGCTGAACGTAAACACCGTCACATTCTTGATACTGTCCGGGCTCTTCTTTGTGCTCAGTGTCCTGATCGTTTTTGGGGTGAGGCAGCCTTGACTGCTGTTTATGCTATCAATCGGTTACCCTCATCAGTCATTAGTGATGTCAGTCCTTTTGAGAGGTTGTACGGTCAGTCTCCTGATTATACTCAGTTACGTGCTTTTGGTTGTGTTTGCTTTGTACTTCTTCCGTCCCATGAGCGGAATAAATTAGAACCCCGAGCTCGTCTGTGTTGTTTTTTGGGTTATGGGGTAGAACACAAAGGATTTAGGTGTTGGGATCCGATTTCTAATCGGTTGCGTATTTCGCGTCATGTTACCTTTTGGGAGCATACTACCTTTTCCTCCTTGTCTAAGTTTTACATTCCGTTTGATTCGACGTCTCCTTTATTCATGTCTATTACTTCAGATCTTTTTCCAGATACAGATACAAGTTCTGACTCATAGCTCATTGACACACCTGTCATGCCTCCGTCTTCTGAAGTGGCTCCACCTGTGCATCTTGAACCGACAGTTCGTACTGAGCCCTCTTCTGATTCTGTACCTTTGCCAGCTATTGATCAACGACGGTCGACTCGTGTAAGTCGTCCCCCTTCTCACTTACTTGACTATCATTGTTATTCGTCCATTCTATCTCATCATGAGCCTAGGTCTTTTCGTGAGGCGAATGCTGATCCATTGTGGCAAAAAGCTACGACTGTGAATTACAGGCCTTAGAAAAGACTCATACTTGGGATTTGGTGGATTTACCTGTTGGTAAGACTCCCATCGGATGCAAGTGGGTGTATAAGATCAAGACAAATTCAGATGGATCTATTGAGCGCTATAAAGCTCGTTTGGTTGCTAAGGGTTACTCCCAGGAGTATGGCATAGATTATGAAGAGACTTTTGCACCAGTTGCTCGTCTTACTTCTGTCCGGTGTTTACTTGCAGTTGCTGTTGTTCGTCGATGGTCTCTTCTACAGTTAGATGTCAAGAATGCCTTCTTACACGGTGCCTTGTCTGAGGAGGTTTACATGACTCCTCCTCCTGGATCATTGTCATCTGGGAAAGTTTGTCGTCTACGTCGAGCTTTGTATGGCTTGAAACAAGCACCTCGTGCTTGGTATGCCACGTTCAGTTCTGCATTGTTTCAGTTTGGTTTCACTGCGAGTGATCACGATTCTGCTTTATTTCTTCGGCGCTCCTCCTCCGGGATTATTATTTTGCTACTCTATGTTGACGATATGGTCATCACGGGGGATGATATTACTGGTATTTCCGATTTGCAGGATTATCTTTGTCAGCATTTTGAGATGAAGAGTTTGGGCCAGATTCTCTATTTTTTGGGTCTTGAGATCTCTGATTCGTCTGATGGATTCTATTTGTCTCAAGCCAAGTATGACTCTGATCTTTTTGCTCGGGCCGGTCTCACTGATTGTCAGACAGCTTCCACTCCTCTTGATTATGATGTTCGTCTTACTCTACTTGATGACTCTCTTCTTGAGGATCCTACATTATATCGTTAGCTTGTTGGGAGTTTGATATACTTGACTGTCACTCGGCCTGATATAGCTCATGCTGTTCATATTGTGAGTCAGTTTATGGCTACTCCGAGAACCACGCATCATTCTGCTGTGTTGCACATCCTTCGCTATGTGAAGGGCACTCTATTGCATGGTTTACACTTCTCGGCACATTCTTCTTTGACGCTTAGCGGTTATTCTGATGCCGATTGGGCTGGAGATCCTACTGATCGTCGTTCTATTACTGGGTACTGCTTCTTTTTGGGTGATTCACTTGTCTCTTGGCGCAGTAAGAAGCAAACATTGATTTCCAGATCGAGTGCTGAGTCTGAGTATCGTGCTCTTGCTGATTCCACCTCAGAGTTATTATGGCTGCGTCGACTAATTGCTGATCTTGGTGCACCTCAGTCGGCGTCTACTGCTTTACATTGTGATAGTCAGAGTGCTATAAAGATGTCTCATAATGATACATTTCATGAGCGTACCAAGCATATTGAGATTGACTGTCACTTCATTCGACAGCATGTTGCACATGAGACTGTGAAGCTTGTTTCCGTCTCCTCTATAGATCAACCAGCGGATGTCTTCACGAAGTCTCTCCTTCCCGGTCGCTTTTGTTTACTTCTTAGCAAACTCAAGTTGATCTCCACTATAACACCTTGAGTTTGAGGGGGGGTGTTAGTTATGTTAAATGTTTTCTTGTACAATAAGTTAGGTTTAGGCGGCTAAGGCCTCTATGTATCTATATATATGTGTACATGTCTTGTGAATAATATATATCATATTTTTCCAATTTCTCACATGAGTTATAATTTAATAAATATTAAAATATATATAAAAAATGTATATAGATAATAAAGGTAGAATAAGTTTTTTGTTTATATTTTAAAATATTTTCTTAAATATAACATTAGCAATAGATGAAGTGCGTTTAAATATCACGATCACCATCAGAAATGATAATCATACAACAAAAATTCATGAATGTAGAAATATAAACATTATAGAGTAATGCTATAGGTACATAATGTTGTACATAGAGGTGTACATAACACTCACATTGAGTGGGACCCACTAAAATTTAAAAATCAAGTGAACCCCGCTCCATGTGAGTGTTATGTACATCTTTATGTATATTTATTATGTATGTAGCATTTTTCAACATTATATGAATTGTGTTTGTCACCATCACAAATAATAACACATAACAGGGATTCACAACTCTAGAAATAGAAACAGTATAGATTTGTTGTGTGATTAAAACATATCATAAGTTTTTTTATTAATGTTTTTAAATAAAAAAAAATGGTATTAAAAAGAATAGGTATTTATCACATTAATGGCACTTCTCTTTGAATTTTTTTTCTTAAAAATGTCAAATTAATAACATCAATTTCAAAAAAAAAAAAATAAAGTTAGTATTACTACTATATAAATAAATTGATATACGGATAATAGAAGTTAACATGTATGAGATAATAAAAGTAAGAAATAAAACTTAAATATTTAAAAAACATATATAAAATGACACAGCCTTGTTTTGCTTAATTTAAATGCATTTGGTTTTAAATTAGGTTCACATATTT